AACTAACACAGAGAGAAATAGTAAAAATTTTTTTCTATGAAAATACGAAGTTTCCTTAACATAACAATATAATAAATTAACTATTCCCCTATATGGGATAAACCAAGAAATGTAATTATATGAACAAAGTTAGAAGGCAATGCAATATACAGTCCTGATCAACGCTTAACTGTTACCAAAAGTAAAATTTGGCTTCTTTCTTTATTACAACAGCCTTTGGGAAAACAAAATAAAACTTAAGAGTGTTTCCCAAATAGTCCCCCAGGGAAAGTGAACATATATCCAAGGGATCTTGGGGCATATTTACCTCAAGCTAAAAATTTCTTTATCATCTCCTCTTAGGGCTTTAAATGTTATAAAAAATTTGTATTCTACCTCATAATACATACATGTTTATCTTCATTTCTTCAGCATCAAAGAAATCAAAGAAAAAAGCATATACCAGAAATGTTTACCATGATTACTTTGTGGTTTCATGTAACTGGTACCTAGCTCCTCTTAGAAACCTAGTTTAAGATTTACAGATGAAAAGTCATATGGCATATTGATAGCACCAATGATCAGTTATCTTTTTTGACTTAATTAATAGTTTTTATTTCTAAAGTCTTAATCTAACCACCGTACTCAGAATTTATTACCTAAGTTTTCTGCTTTGGTTAATTTCTTATCTATTCTATAATGCTAACTAGAACTCAAACCATGCCTCCTTCTTGCCAATTTCAAAAACGCTAAACTTGTTCTACAAAGAAAACTTCCTTTTCATATGTAGCTTTCTCCAAGTTACAACTTACCTACACCATGTCCCTATGTTTTTACACTGTCCAGAAAGAGAAAGAAAACATGAATTCAGCATATTCCCTCATGATAGTCTTAATCCAATATAATTATTTGTAGCAACTACATTTTAAATTGTGATAGTTACATTTTTTATAGAAGTATTGCATATTGCATACAAAAAGAAAGTATAAAAATAAGAGTATATACAGCTTAATGATTTTCACAAATAAAACACTGCAATGTAATCAGCACTCAGAACAAAAACAAACAAAAACAAAATGTTACTACCATGTAGTAACTACTGTATTTTATTTTTCTAGCTAATTCTTCTTCTAATAAATCTTTGGGCTCTGTTGTCAGTTCTTTTACACAGAATGCTAAATACAAGGAATTGAATTCATTCATTCACTGAATAATTATCTGTTGAGGACCTACTATATGTCAGGTGCTATGCCATGCTATGCACTGGGGACAAATAAGTGAATAAAATAAACAAAAATCCTGGCTCTCACAGAGCATATATTCTTATAAGGGTAAACTACACTAAATAAGTCAAATATATAGTATACTAGTGATAGGCGCTAAGGAAAAAAATAATAAAACAGGAAAGAGGTTAGAAAATGTCAAAGAGAGAATTTTTAGAAAGAATGACTAGAGAATACCAAATTGAGACGGTAACATCTAGGTCATGATCTGAAGGAGCAATGGAGCTAGCCATGGGAATATCAAATGGAGCAACATTCTAGGGGCAAAGATAAGCAAGTACAAAGGCTCTGAGGTAGAAACATGCCTGATATATTTTTAAGGAAAGCAAGGAAGCCAAGCAAAGGGGAAAAGAGTAGAAGATGAAGATAAGTAATATGGGTGAAGGAGGGGAGTCAGATCATGTGGGGCTCCTGGGTCATTGCAAAGAATCTGGTTTTTACTCTGTGTGAAAAGTGAAGTCATTGAAGAGTTCAGAATGGAAGAGTGAAAGATATAAAATATTTCAACGGTATCACTCTGGTTGTTGCATTAAGAAAAAGACTAAAGGGAAAAAAGAGTGAATGCAGGGAGACCAGTCAGGAAAATATTGTAATAATCCATGCAAGAGTTGATGGTGGTCTGGACCAACATAGTACCTACCGGTGGAAAAGGCAGTAAGTGGTCAGATTGATATATACAAGAAGATTTGCTGAAGAAGCCTAAGTGGGGGTCAGAAAATGAGAGTCAAGGATAAATACCCAGGTTTTGGCTGGTCTAGCTCAACTGGAAAAGTGAAGTAGTCATTAATTGATATGGGCAAGATTTCAAGTACAGATTTTCATGGAATATCCAGATCTCAATTAGGGACACATTAAGTTTGAGGTCTTTATTAGATATCCAAGTAGAGATGTCCAGCAGGCTAGTTGGGTAATCAAGTCAGGAATAAACAAGAAAGGTCTGGGCTGAAAATTCAAATTTTGGAGTCATCATTATATAGAAAATATTTGGTTAAGATCACCTAGCAAACGAAGAGAGTCAAAAAGAGAAGACATCCAAGGACTGATCCCAAGGGCGTTATCAACATTTAGAGGTAGGAGAGATCAGAAAACCAAAATGAAGTAACTGAGAAAAACCAGGCAAATAAGTTGTCCTAGAAGCCAAGTGAAGAAAGTATTTCACAGAGAAGAGCATTCAACAATCAAATAAAAAGGACTGTTGAGAACCCCTGGATTCAGCAGCAGTAAGGCTGAAAGCCTGATTGGCATGGGGTCAAGAGAGAAAGGGAAAAGAAAAATTTGAGACAATCTGTACACTTTTTAAAAAAAGTTTTTGTTATAAAGTGAGGGAAAGAAATGAGCCAGTAGAGAGGTAAATAGGGACAGGACTTTTTTTGTTGTTGTTAAAGATGAGAGATCATATTGTAGGCTGGTAAGAATGATCTAGAACAGCAGTCCTCAACCTTTTTGGCACCAGGGACAGGTTTCCCAGAAGACAATTTTTCCATGGACAACTGGAAGAGGGGTGGCGGAGCTCAGGCAGTGATGCAGGATGTGAGCGATGGAGACTGGCTGTAAATATAGATGAAGCTTTAGTGGCCACTGGCTTGATGCCATTCACCTCCTGCTGTTCAGCCCCAACCCTACCCCCCATTCCTAAATTTCATGGAAGACAATTATTCCATGGATGGTGGTGGGGTGGGATGGAGGGCAGCAGGGCTCTGCAGCCCGGTTCTGTACCGGTCCTAGGTGCAGGGGCTGGGGACCATAGATCTAGAAGACAGGAAAAAATAATGACAGAGAAGAAAGGGGGAGAATTGCTAGAACAATAAGGAGGTGGAAACTAGCATATAAGTGGATTGGCTGGCCTTAGCCAGGAGAATGGTGAATTCATCCCTCAGAAGATAAAGTAGAGTTCATAGGCACAGCTGTAGACAGCTAAGTAGATAATGGGAGCCTGCAGAAGTTCTCTTCTGATTGTTTTAACTTTCTCTGTGAACTAGGAAACAAGGTGCTAGACGTGCTAGAGGTTTGAGGAGGGAAGAAAATGCATCAGTAGTCATGTAAGAATACAGAGGAGTAACATGACCAGGGAAATAGAAAATGATTCCTGGGTGGCATTAAGGACTCACTGAATTAAGGGATCATGATTTTAAAGTGAGACCAATAAGGATGGTTACATTTTCCTCTAAGTATGTTCAGATATATGGGTCCCAGCAAGGAGTTGAGCATATACAAGGCTATGAATATGATGACTGACCATGGAATTTAAGCTGGATAAAGAACATAAGATATCAGCAGGATAAATAACAATGAAAAAATTATAGATTTTAAAAACTGAGGGTTCCAACAGGCCCAAAGACTTTTTGGAATAATAGAAATAGTGATATGAAAAAATAAATACAGAAGAGAGGAAACCATGAAATTCAGATTATGGAAGAGTTACAGTTTGGATAAAAATAAGGTCTAGGAATGGGGAGGTAGAGGGTAAAATTCATTGGGGGAGAGGAGTTTCAGATTTGAAGACATCAGGATACTGGAAGAATTATACATGTGAACAATGGAATCACTATGAATTATGAAACAAGTAATATTAGAGTGAATGTCAGTGAACTAAGAACCAAAATCTGTTAAGAGATAATTCTCCATGGATCTCATGGTTCTGAACAGATTGTGAGCAGAGGCACTGAATGTCTGTTTTGGACTGTCTTTTTTGGCATGCTTATATAACAAACAGCACAGGAAAATGGTGTCTTCCTCTAGAGCAAAAAACAGGTTTACTTATACCCTTGGAAGAAAGAGACAGTCTCTTCTTCCCAGGCAACTTGGACACGCTTAATATCCATTATAAAAGATTCTAGCTCCCTAAGCCTGGGGTTCTTTATCTGTAATTCAATCCACCATATATGCAAGTATCACATGGTCCCCTTCACATCATCCTTTGGGAATTGGAGAACCAGTGCAGGCAAATGCTGTTACATCGGCTAATCATTTTGCTTTAGTAAAGGTCCTTTGCCTCTGGCCCAAAAGTCTCCTGTCTTCTGCCAGTACACATGAAACAGTGGCAGGTTAATTTATTAGCTTGGAAGTAAATTCTCAAACCCTTCATAGTTCTTAAAAAAATCTCCAGTGAATGGGAGATGGGGAGCAGAGATGACTGTAACTACATGGATAGGAAGTAGCATTTTTATAATATGAGAGAAAATTTAGATGCGTTTTAGAAGACAGAATGGTCTGAAAAAACACAACGAGAAGCCAAGAGAACACCTCTGGACTCAATGATATGAAGAAGCAGGAGAGAAAATGGCTACTACTTGAGAGGGTTGCAGATAGTATCATCAGGAAAGCAACTTAAACTTAGAGCAAAAACAGTGAAGCAATATTAACAAAAAGGGTTGAAGATGAAAAGGAATTTGCTGATGACTGACCTTAAGTTCCAGGGATATTATGAAAGATATTTAGAAGACAGGGAGAGTTAGGTTTTAGGGTCAGATTTGAATACATGTGGTAAGACACTCATGAATCTTGGGCCCCAGGAATAGGAAAAAAGGGCATGATGTAATTAATTTTGATTAGTCTTAATCAGATTAGTTTACTTATTTCTATATTCCTTGTCTCCCTTTTATCCATCATCTACTATAAACACTTTATTTATTACCAAACAAAATATCATTTTAGAAAATTTAGAATATGTAAGTTTTCAAAAAACATAAACACCAAACTGTTATTTAAGATTAAAGTAAGAAGCAAGGGTTAACTTACTTGAATTAGATCTAAAATGCCAAGTTCACTTTCTGAAGAATCCACACAGAAGACAAAATATAACGTTGCATAATGTCTATAAATTAGTTTGTTGTCAGAGCCTCCAATTAATCTAAATGACAAAACAAAACAATTGGAATGTTATGGTAAACAAAATGCAAAACATTTTCATTAGTTCAAGCAAACTGACAATTTGTTTAAAAACCTTTTATAAAACAAAAGGTGACATTTAATGGAACAGTGTTCGAATGAACTTATTTCAGAGACTAAGTAAATTAAGACGACTATTTTCTTCAGAAATGTTAAGTAAAAGACACTGTTTAATATTAGTTTATACATTCATTAAACTATTTTCTGAGTAACTATGTGCCAGGCACTGATAGTGAGGAAGGAACAATAGATAAATAAATAAGAAAATTATCAGATAGTGGAAGGTGCTACATAGAGAATCAAAATAAGATGATGCTATATTGATGGGTTTGATATTTCAGGTTATTAAGAAAGAGGGACATTTTGGCTGAGATCTGATAAGGAGCTAGCCATGAAAAAATTTAGATAAGAGCATTTCAGGCTAAGGTAACAACTAATAAAAAGGCCATTTCATCAAGAACAAAGTACATATGTTCCACGAAGAAAAAGAAGACCAGTGGACAAGAAAAGATTAGTAAATGATGAAGTCAGAGAATTAGGCAGAAATTAAGTCATAGTGCATTTGTAAGTGCTTATTAGATTTAACTCGTTAGGTCAGAGCTTAAGACTGATTATCAACTAGGAAAAAAAATGACATTTCTTAAGTTTTGGACAGATTTACTATCAAGATCTCCAAAAATACATTATGTTTTGAAATATAAATGAAAGAAAACTACGCTAAGTGATGCTCACTTCTTCCATTAAATACTTTGATTTACATTGACTGGAATTTCAGCATCTTTAAAATAATAATTGAGGAATCACACCAAATATCTTATATTTTTCTAAACATAGTTTAGCTATTTCATAGTTAAGTCTACAATAATGAGCTCACCTTCTCAAGACTCCAAGCACTAATATACTTTAAAATCAAGGCTAAATGTAACCAAAGCTAATTGAACAAACAGAATCTACCTCTTACTCAGTAAAAGTAACACTAAACTTACAAGTGCAGAACAATTTCTGTAAGTATACACTACTTCCATGTTCTCTAATACTGCAGTCCCCAACCCCCGACCCATTAGGAACCCGGTGTGTATCACCTGAGCTCCACCCCTGCCACCCCCCACTTCCATGAAACCATGAAATTCAGGAACCCAGGCCACACAGCAGGAGGTCTGCAGAAAAACTGTCTTCCAAGGAACCGGTCCCTGCTGCCAAAAAAGGTTGGGGACCACTGCTCTAAGCAAAAGTAGAAATGATCTTTGAAAAGATTTAAAAATTCCTAGTATGCTAGATACTTTTCTAGAAAACAAATTTAATTAAAAAACATATACATGCAAATTTTAGATTCTGAAATTATATTTATAGACTATGATCGCAACTGTTACTTAAAAGATAAAAAGAAAACAAATAGCAGGTTTTACTTCATTTTGAATCAGCAATTTAGTGATTATCTTAAACTTTGCTTTGCATTGCTTTAAAAGATATGACCAAACCTCTGAAAACTGTAAGTTTCTAAAAGGTCATTAGTGTTATTTTTTAAAAAAGTAAAGATATTAATGTGGTAAGTACATATTTTGCCTTTAAAAATATAATGTTATCTTTAAGCTATAGTATAATACTGATACAAATTCTTGTATGGAATGCAATATACCATATAAACCACAGAATTTTAGAAATCTGCTTAGTCCAAATATATATCATTTTACAGAGGAGGACACTGAGGTCTGAGACTTTAAGTGACCTAAGGACACCAGCTTGTTAGCAACAAAACTAGAACTGACTAGATGTGTAGTCTCATCTAATACAATATTTGCTTTCAATTTTTTACAAGGTTAGAAAAAAACAATCACAATTTCAGCTCATAATTTCTAGTTCAAACAGTACCCTAGTTAAATCAATCAGGTTCTTGCATAACTACTACATGCAATGCACTGTGCGGGGTGATAAGTTTCCAAAGAGATAAGAAATTAAGGGGCTAGGATGAGAGAAAGTGATAGTAATGGCAAAGTTAAGTTAAATCTGTATAATTAAAATTAAAAAATAGAAGCAGGTATACTTGTCTCAACTATTAAATTAAGGAGCCTTGAATTAATAGCAAAGTTTATGAGTTATAAGTGTGCACTGAACATTTAAGTGCAACACGATATAAGAAATGCAAGTAAGCATTCTACAAGATAAAAAGTAACTTATAATCATGGGTTCCCTGTTATCTAAACTATTTCTCATGCTATGTATCATACACATTAAAATACAGAGAAGTCTAGGTTTTTATGACTAATCTGTGATTTTCATAATAAGTCTCAGCTACAGTTTAGTTCTTGAATTCCCAATGAGGAAATATCTTTAGTATATTAATTATATAAACAGGGGAGAAAACATCCTTGAAAACATGTGAGAGCCAACTGTCTTAACAGAAACTATTAATTTAAAAGTATTTAATTATAATATTTGGCAAGCTAATTATAAATAATTTTTATTTATTCATTTTAAAGATAGAAAAATCAATTAGATGAATTCTATATAGGTGTATAGATACATAGATATATTTGAAAGACTTCAGTCTTGTTTGCAATATTAATATAAAATATAATCTAAATTTTCATAAACATGCACACTGTATAATACTCTATAGTCTTAAAAAGAATGAGGTTGCACTAGATGTGTTTATATGAAAAGCTTTTCAAAATATTAAGTGAAAACCAGCAATATGCAAATGAGCATCCTTGGTATAATCTCCTAAATAAAATTTTTTAAGGTTTTACTTTAATATGTCAGTTAATGCAAAATTAATTTTCTAGAAGGATACACAAGAAACTGGGAAGAAAGACTAAGGTTGGAAGAATCTTATTTTACATTTTATACTTCCCTGTAATGTTTCAGTTTTTACTATATGAATATATGGCCTTTATATAAAATGTCTTTACAAATTGGTTAAAAGGAAAAAAAAAAGATTGCATATCTTTAAAAAATTCTTTAAGTTAAGATTTATAGCTAACATAGATGGCAATTAATTCACCTAATCCAGTTAATCAAAACTAGAAAGCTTTTATCATAAACTGATTAAACAGTATATATTTTAATCATATAGTCAAAACTTAGAAATGTCTATAAAATGCTTTACTTACAATCCTCCTTCTAGGAAATTACAAACATTTTCATCTCTCTTAGATACCAAATGGAAAGTCTCCCTGATGATCTGCTGTTGTGTATCTTCACTCTGAGAAAGAATAATTCATATACATTAGGCAGGTTTAACAGCATTTTTAAATTTTTAAAAATTTTTAAATTTTTAAATTTTTAAAAATAAAAGATAGTAATATCTGTCTGGGAAATCCCTCTAAGAGAAGAGGTCATTGGAGAACTGACTTAAATTATACCTTACAGAAGCAAAACTCAACATTTTTGATGGAAGAAAAACCAAAATAATGCTTTATAGTTTACCACTGCAATAAAGGTAACATTTTTAAGTTTCAAAATCTAACAAGAAAAAGTATTAGATGAATTACATACACTAGTAAAAGGTAAACTGCATAAAAGAGAAACTAGATAAAGTCCATTGTTTTACAAATGAGCAAACTGAAACACAGAGAGGTAAAGTTATAAATAATTCATGTAGCTAATCTGTATCTGAATGGAAGAAAGATACAGAAATTTAGAATTAAGTTAAATCTTTACTAAATGCAGATTGAGGTAACAGTCCATCCATCTTACCTGTCTTTATATAAGCATGACCTAAAACCAAGAAGTGACTCAATAAATATTTATTAAACTCAACTAAGCAATTCATATCCCAGTAAAATTTGGCTTCCCAAACACTATAATAGAAAACTGAGAAAAATCATGAAAAGGAATTTCACAACAAAGGAAATATGATGATCACAAACAAATGAAAAGATGCTAAGCCTCAACAGTAATTAAGTGAAATATTAATATAATTAAATGAGATAGCTCCACATGTATATTAGCAAAAGTATAACAATATTACAATATCAAATGTTGACAAGGATGTGAAGCCACAGAAACTCTCATCCCACCAGTGGGAGGAGGGTAAAGGGTACAAATGAGACAGAGCAGGGACCCTTCTCAGTGGTCTGCCTCTCCCTACTCCCAGCACAGGAAAAGGAAAAAATTTGAGTCTCTTCAAGGGAAATTCCAGACACCTACAAAGCTTTGAGAAATAAATGAGCAACGTGATTGATAAGCAAGAAGACAGTAGTCTCCCAAGCAAATCAGAGTCACAAGGAATTTTAGCTCCCTATAGAAACTGAAAGATAATATCTTATCATATGTTCTTGAATAGTGTTTCAGAAACCCGGACCCCTACCACATGGAAAATGCCAACTGCTATCACAAGAACCTCAGATTAGGGGTAACTGAGTACTGAACTTGGACTGCTCTTCTTCATTCTGAATTTCTTCCTGAAGGACCTAGAGAGTCAATCACAGGCCAAACTTAACATTCTTTCTGATGATCTCAAGTTTTTAGACAAAGCCGTGTTTCCTTAACCAACTGCAAATCAAAGAATCTCTGGATCCACCTAAGACCTGTAAGCCTCCATTTTAAGATATCTTGCCTTTTTGGGCCAAACCAATGTATAACCTCCATGTATTAGTTTACAATTTTGTCTGTAATTTCGGCTTCCCTGAAATGTAACCCTGACTTTAAAAACTCTTATTTATAAGCCATAGGGGAGTATCAGGTCTTAAGAATTAGCTGCCCATTCTCCTTGCTTCGTACCATGCAATAAATGCCTTTCTTTCTCTCACTGCAAATCCTGGTTTGCTTTGCTGCAACTGGTGAGCAGACCCAAGTTCAGTTTGGTAACAGTCACTTGCAAAAAGTTTTATTAACCACCACTTTCACTCCTATATACTATTCTAAACCATATGAAACCACTGTTTTTGAAGATCAAAAACAAATGAACACTGGTAATTACACAAACATCTGACCCCTGAATGATGTGGGGAGTTAGGGACTCTGATTCCTCACACAGTCAAAAATTCACGTATAACTTTTGACTCTCCCAAAACTTAACTACTAATAGCCTACTGCTGACTGGAAGCCTTACAGATAACGTAAATGGTCAATTAACATATATTTTGTATGTTACATGTATTATATACTATATTCTTACAATAAAGTAAGCCAAAGAAAAGAAGACGTTATTAAGAAAAATCATAATGAACAGAAAATATATTCACTATTCATTAAGTGGAAATGGATCATTATAAAGGTCTGCATCTTTGTCAGCTTCAGGGTAAGTAGGTTGGGGAGAAGGATGAGGAGAGGTTTGTCTTGCTGTCTTAGGGGTGGCAGAGGCAGAAGAGGTGGAGGAGATGAAAAGTGGACGCAGGCACACTCAGTTTAACTTTACAGAAATACATCATAATTTCTTTTTTGCTTTTTCATTTCTCTAAAAATGTTTCTATACATTACCAATCTTTCTCCTACAGTTTGCTTTAGTTTCAGTGCCCATATCATAGAAGGGTCAGTGTTACAAAAGAAGTCAAATGTGGTTTTGAAAAACCAGAACCCTCTGCTAATGTCAATTTCTTTTCTGGTATTGTTTTTCTACATTTTCTTCCTCATTGTGTGGCACTGGTTCAGAAGCACTTATGTCCATCAAGTAGTGTTCTGTTAACTCCCCTGGTGTTGTGTCTATAAGCTCTTGAATTTCTCCAAGATCCTTATCTTGAAACCTTTTACCCCCTTCCTCTTTTTGCCATATCCATAATCTCTTTCATGATTTCCTTGATTGGCTCTGTTGTAAGTCCTGCAAAGTCATGCACAATATCTGGGCATAGTTTTCTCCAGCAGGAATTTATTGTTTCAAGTTTGATGGCTTTCATGGTTTTTTCTGTAACAATGATGGCATCACAATCCTTCTACACTTTCACAATATTCTATTAGGGTTCTCTTCAATAGTATTGACAATCCTTTCCATAGAATACTGGGTATAATGAAACTTAAAGATCCTTATGACCCCCAATCTATACACTGAATTAAAGACATTGTGTTTGGAGGCAAGTTGACTACTTTGATGCCTTCAGTGTTGAATTCATGGGGCTCTGGGTTGCCAGGGGTATTGTCTAATATCAAAAGAATTTTAAAAAGCAATCTCTTACTGCCAAGGTACTTCCTGACTTCAGAGACAAAGCATGAATGTAACCAATCCAGAAAAAGGCTTCTTTCTCTCCAGGCCTTCTAGTACAACCAAGAGACCAGCAGCTGGTACCTCCCTTTTGGCTTGGTGATTAGCAGCTTTTTAAGTGCAGTCCTGACCATCAACTTGACTGCATTAGGCACAAAACAATAAAGCTGGCCTATTTCTTCCTGCCTTAAACCCTGGTGCTCACTTATCTTCCTTACTAAAAAGATGTCCTTTTTGGTTATTTTTTCCAGAACAGGATACTGCCCTATTAAAATCCTGTTTAGGCAGATGTCTGTTCTCCTGATTGGTTTTCTTAATGACATCTGGGAACTTATCTGCTGTCTCTTGGTTGACAGAAACTGCTTCTCCTGTTATCTTAACATTTTTGAAGCCAAGCCACTTTCTAAAATTATCAAACCATCCTTTGCTGGCATAAAATTCTCCAGCTTTAACTCCTTCACCTTCCTTTTGCTTTAATTTGTCATATAATGACTTCACCTTTTCTCAAATCACATTAGAATCTACAGGTATGCCATTCTTACAGCAACCCTGCACCCACAGAAAAGCTGCATTTTCAATATTGGATAAAAAGGTATTTCACAAAATGTGCAAGGTTTTCATAGCTGCTGGCATAGCTGCAATGATGGCTTCATGGATTTTCTTTTTCTACAATGGTCTTTATGCTGTCTTCATCTTGAAATGGCGGGCAACAGCACCTGCAGATCTCAATCTAAGGTACATATCAATCAATTCAACTTTTTCTTGGGATGTCATGATTTTGTTTCTTGGGAGCACTTTGTATGGGTCCAATGGTGTTATTCAAGGTTTATAGTATTACACTAATCATGATGAAAAAATACACAGGAACCTCAAAAGATTAGTTTTTACTGTGATACATGTTTTACTGGAGAGATAAACTGCTCATGTGGAGATGATTAGCACTTTAAGAAGACATGGGCAAAACTTGCTCACCGCAATAGTAACAGACGGTAGCTACAAAATTATTACAGTAGTACAGTATGTACTACAGTTAGTTTTATGCTGTTTGTACTTAATAGTACATCTTTACCTTTGTTTGCATTTCTCTCAAGTGAAATGGCAACATGTATAGTCTGTGTGACTAACTTTTGATAAATTTTAACTTTTTATAATATATTTGTATATATTTTTGGTAGTAAATGATAAAATAGGCTAGTATCTACATGTTTTATGCATTTATGGCATAACTTTTTCTTAATTTTTTCAAGTTTCACAATTAAAAGTATGAGTTCTGTTCTAATTATGATGGTAAATTAAACATACATCTGCTTTTGCTGCCCACCCAAATCCTAAGTAAGACAATATTAAAGGCCTTTAAAAAAAAGCATAAACCCATAAGAAAAAGTATGAGTTCTGTTCTAATTAAGATGGTAAATTAAACATACATCTGCTTTTGCTGCCCACCCAAATCCTAAGTAAGACAATACTAAAGGCCTTTAAAAAAAAAAAAGCATAAACCCATAAGAATAAGGAGAATGAGAAGAGAAGCTAAGAACAACACAATTTTGAAAGTGATTGAATGAGTGGTAAAGTATTAAGTAGATCTTTAAAAATTTAATCCTAAATTGGTTGAGAGGAAAGTCCAAGAAATAACTCAATTGGTATCACAAAATAGCAAAAGGCTCAGGAATTGATGCTTTTTAGCTACTTCTGGAAGTGAGGATCCAGAGAGGAAACTAAAGTAAGGACTGACTAAAAGTCTGTTTAAAAAGCAGAAGGATCACTAAATTCCCTCAATCATCTCCAAGAAAAGTCTGTAGGCTTATTCTTAGAGAGAGACAAAATGTAAGATCTTTGGAGAGCACGAGGTAACTATGGTAGGCTCACCAAAAGGACAACACTCTAATCCCTGGAACCTGTAAATATATGCCCTTAACATAACAAAAAAATGAAGTTGTTAGAACTCTTGTAAAAAAAAAAAAAACATAACAAAAAACCTTCAAAGATGTGATTAAATTTAGGACCTTAAGATGTGGAAATTATCCCAGATTATCTGGGTATTTCTAATCTCATCAACATGGGCACAC